GTAGATGGAAAATTGGGAAAGAGAATTCTTCTTAAGCAAGGAGTTCCCCAAGGAGGAGTACTGCCAACTACTCTCTTCATATTATTTATGAATGATATTGTATCTGAAATGCCAAACGGAGTAAACATAGCACTATATGCGGAAGTTCTGGTACTATGGTGCTCTGAGGAATACACAACCACAGCAAAGTACAGAATACAAAAAGCGTTAGACAAAGTAGAGACATGGGCAAGAGAATGGTGTGTTACCATCAACAGAGAAAAAACAACAGGAACTCTCTTCTCACTATCGCCTAAAACTCAAAACATCACTCTCAAATTAAAATGGAAGAACAGCAAACATACCTTGGGATAACTTTTGATAAAAGAATGACATGGAAACAGCACATAATGTCAGCAGAAGCTAAAGCTAGGAGAAAACTTAACATCATGAGAAAACTGGCAGGAACAAGCTGGGGTGCAAATGAAACAGTATTGAAAACTGTCTACCAAGGAAACGTAAGACCACATCTTGAGTACGGATCTAGTGCATGGTTAAAAGCATCCAAGAGTCACCTAAAGACACTAGACAAAGTCCAGAACCAGGCATTACGTATTATCACAGGAGGCATGAAATCAACACCAATTGCAAGCATGGAAAAATTACCAACATACCACCATTAAATAAGAGAAGAGAATGTAAAGCTATGATACAGGCCACCAAGTATCAATGCCTTCAGGATCATCCAATGAGCCAGAGAATGAAACAACTATCCTCTGGTAGACTCATAAGATCTAGTTTTGCCTTTGAGACTCGGGCACTACAGCGAAAATATCAGGACGTTCTGCCAAAACTAGTCAAACCAATAGAGTTCACACTTACAGCTAGCCCCTGTGCAGAGAAAACTGGAAATGTCACCATACACACCCCAGTCCCACAAATCACTGCTAAAAACGAACAATCAGATTTGATCAAAAAAACGTTCACAATCAGTATGATAGAAGAACAGTATCCCTCAACATCTTGGATTAGAGTTTATACAGACGGATCAGCCAAAAATGCAACAACAGAAGGCGGAGCGGGTATCTACATCGAATACCCTAACGGAGAAAAACAGTCAGAGGCAATACCAACAGGCCTTCATTGTTCCAACTACAAAGCCGAAGAAGAAGCCATCACCCATGCAGTACGCTCCATCAGAGACAAGGCCAACAAAACAACAAGTGTAGTATTCCTGACAGATGCCCTATCTGTATTGCAAGCCATTAACAACGGTAAACTCCCCGAACTTGAACAAGATCTACACAACATCGAAAGCCTTCAACCAGCATTACAATGGATACCATCTCACTGCGGAATCAAGGGAAACGAAAATGCTGATCTGATAGCAAAGGAGGGAGCCAAACAACAGCAATATGAAAACCAAGTAAGCTTCTCAGAGATGAAAACCACCATCACATCACTACACAGAACCCATCAACAACAAGACAGCTATCACCAACTGGCTAGACCTGAGCAGACGACCATCTTCAGACTTAGGACAGGAAACAACAGACTCAACCAACATCTGCATAGAGTCATGAAAGTCATACCATCACCGATGTGTCCATGTGGAGAAGCTGAGCAGAATACAGAACACCTCCTACAACACTGCAGACTACACCAGGCACTGAGAAATAACACATGGCCAACACCAACAACGCTACAAGAGAAGCTTTATGGACCAGTGGAAGCCCTACAGAAGACCGCCAGATTTGTAGAGGAGACTGGGATTCAAGTGTGATTAGGCGAACCAAAAGAAGAAGAAGAACTGTATATGTCGAGTTGAAGGCCAAAGCAGGTGTTTTCTTCTTTTTAGGTACAATGTATTACATTTTGAACAAAATCGGCCTGCTTGTAACGGGGAATTCCAGTAGAGTTGTTTGAAGAATTAGTCTCCAAAACCACATAGATATTGTCAATCAGAAACTCGAACATCTTTTCAGTATCAACACAGAATACAGTATTTTAAACAACCAGAATGTTTTTTAACAAAAAAAATTTGTGAATGACCAATGGAAAGGTAAGTCAATTTACGAGTTCCATTTTTATTGAAAAGCATCTGCCAATGATATCAAAAAGCCTGTACTTTAATTTATTGTGGGAATGACTGCCGTATATAAAGTTGAAAAGTCAAAAGTTTTTTTGTTGTTGATTTTGGAAAAATTTTGTGAGTTCAAATTTTCAAAAAGTTTTTGGAATTTTAAGGACCGGTATCAACATTTCGATTGACACCTCTCCTGAAATATATTGTTGCACAGTACTCCCAAATTTTCTCTGCACTATCGTTCATATCTTAGTGAGTCGTAAAGAAAGAGGCTTGGTGGAACATTTACTGGAACCCGCTATGTATTTTTGTTTGTAAGGATTTTTATGAAGTCTCGGAATTAAATATTTTCAAAACTGACAAACGATTTTGAAGAATTTTCTCCTAAGAAATTAAGGGAGCTACGGGTATATGTTACCACTAGTAGAATTAAGGACTGATGTGGCCTTCAACTAGACATTCAGATATAATGTGATGTACGTATACATGTATGTATAGGCAATACTTCATCATTCAACAACAGTTACTTCTCTTTCTATGTCAACTCGATAAATAAACTAGAGAATTTGAAATTAAAGACAGAGTCTGCCACATTTGTTTCATACATGTATTTTTATCTTTTACTGACTATAGACGATAATTACTTACTATCAATTAAATTTTATTATTAAGATAATAAGCTTTTCTATCGTCAAACTTTCTTTATTTTTGCAGTTATATTCCGCTATCACCTGCATTAGGTATCAAGGTCTCCCAACTTATCTGATTCTTAAGCGCATACTCTGAGAACGATTAGTTTTTAAACCAAGGTAGGCTACGGGCAGATAAGTTGATGTTACAGGGATTTCAACATTCTTGTTCAATTCTTTGATCGTCATAATATGATATAGGTTTTGAGTACCAAATAAAACCTATTATAGGGTCGTATTTTGAATGTCGTATTTCGTACCAATTGTGAGGCCTTTGTTCTTTGACTTCGGTATGTTCCGTCGTTCCTGATTAATACATGTACATAGAGCTTACCGGATGTGAGCAGTCAACAGGGGTGCTTACTCCTTCTAAGCACCTGATACCGTGGCTGGAATTTCGGGGTTTTATGCCCTGTTTACAAATTAATATCATTTGTAGATTTTTTGAAAGCGATGTGTTCGTTATCTTCAATTTTTACATTTACATCAATTTATTAATAACTTTTGAATGAAAGAAGATAGGGCTTTCCTATTGTACACGTTCATCATTCAAAAAGAACAATTTATTTCTGTCCTCATGACCATGTCTTAGTTTATGACCTTCATATTTTCTTTTACATGTGTATTACCTAGCTATATCTAGATCTTTTGAATTTAATCATGAAATTTGACCTCATAATAATTTTTTTTTTAATTTTCATTGTGAAATTTCAAATTTGACATCACAATGAAATAAAAGCCCACTTTGTTCAGGTTAAGCTAGGGTATTCTATGGCATAAAATCTTGGACCCACCAAAGCAATTAACCTACTCATTTCTCATATTTTCCCTTAATTAATTGTCAGTAGTATAATGCCGGGTCTTGGTCATGGCATCGATCAACGAATAATTGGTACGGTACATAACTCATCATTTTACTACGATGTCTTCTTGTTTTGCACACATTTGATGATTAGGTATAGTACACTAGGTGTGAGTTGTTTAGCAAAGCATTACCTCTTGCAGCCGTAACGACCTTAAAACACACTAACGAGCTCTAGTTATATAAGCTCTGCCGTTATATCTTTAATACAATAAACTAAAATCTCGAATTCAAAGATTCTTAACACATCACTAGGCGAAAATTAAATTATATAAGCACTTTGATTTATCGCAATGCATATTTACAAATTAAAATAAGCAATTAAGGAAAAGATTTTGCATGTGTACCGGTTTTATTAGAGGTGAAAAGTCTCACATCCACCGACATTTTCTTTTTTGTTCGATTTTTTAACATTATCTTTGAACAAATAATTGGTCAAATATACTTGGTTTATACGTTACGTATTCAAAGAAAATGATTATATAGCACTTTATGAAAGTGATTTTCGTATCCAATACTCCATTATCTTTGAACAAATAATTGGTACTTGGTACGTTACTTAGAAAATGAAATAGATGAAAGTACGCGATATTATCTCAGTGTCCCCTTTTCTCCGTGCATAGGGTGTCCTTAATGAATTACTGACAAAATGTACTTGATCATTTAATTGTTCCACTGCTAAAGGTATAAGGGTAGAGAGCCAATCTCCTCCCCATAACTTATCATTATCAGCAAGATTTAATATGTTCAAATATAGTGTTTGGTGGAGTTAAACATAGTATATTCTATACTTGTATATTTTTTTTCATTTCAGTTATTTTCAAATCAAATAAAAAACAACGGCTAATATACTAAATATTTTTCTAAAATGTTAGATTATCAGAAAAAAATGTATGGACGATCTAATTCCACATTCACAAGACATATTCATTTACTAGTATTCATTTTTGAAACATAATGATAATTATGCATTAGAACTTTGGAGAAAAGAAGGCAAAAAATAAAATTCTATAAATTTCATTTCTTGCAACAACTTTGGAGAAAAGAAGGCAAAAAATAACATTCAATAAATTTTATTTCTTGCAACAATTTTCACACTGCTGTTGTCGCCGCATTTCGAGCGACCTGCCATTACTGTGTTTAATCATTGACCTGTTTCAGGGCAGTCAATTAAATAAAAAAAAACACTGGGAAAGGCTTCCAGCTACAACTTAGAAAGACAATAAGTAAGTTGAATAACAAGTTGCACTTTTATCTTTTTCTTTGCATTTGAAAATAAATGGTCCATGTTAAACAATAAAGGTATGTCCACCTGTCACATCAATGGGCGAGAAATACAAAATCCGACAAACCTGTTGATGATGAAATGTCGAATCAAAGCATGTTATGATACTGACATTCTATAAAACATAAAAGGGAAATCACTTTAATCGATACTTTTGAGGAAATGGGTACTGTGCTCGTGAGTAAACCATTGTATGTCCGGTGTAGAACTGACTAATATCCGGGCAGTTTGACGCGAGGTGTTACGGGAGCTTGCTAGTATTGTCGCAGCATGGACACTGAAGCTACTCTGTGGATTTTTATCATAGCGTGTATTTTACCAAGTAAGTTTTTTTTTACATTGCCATATTTTCAAAATTTTTCTGCACATACTTGACATAAATAATTCTTCAATGGCTTTCATATAAATTTAGTTTTTTTTAATCAATTATATGCTTGAAAGAAGTCTATGTAAGTGTTTGACACAGAGATAAAAGATATCTACTCCTGTACACAGGATGGAGTACTTCAATTTTACATATCATTGCATTGTGATTCAGACAGACTTGACTTTACCAAGCTCTCACGAAGATGATTTTCCTTGTCTATAATTTGTTTCATGAACTTGCTACATTTAGGTACAAATACCCAATTGAAAAGTCCATGATATAGAAATCTTTAAATCGTTATCATATTTTTTGATTTATTTGAATGTTATATTCATGTTTCCTTGGTGCATGATTCGAAATTGGCTGGAATCAAGGCCACTAGAGTATTGTTATCTCACGGTCAGTGGAGGAAAACGTTCATTATCAGTTCTCTACCCAATAAATACTGCGGCATCATTACTTACATATGCACTTTAGTATCACTACACATGCTGCAAGGAGGTACGAAATCATAAACTGTTGGTGGGGCATCTTGACCAACACAAGAACTAAGTGGTGGCTCATAAATCAATTTAATAGAACATTTAAAAAAAATTGATTTATTAAAAAGATTGTTTATAATGTAGAAGGCGAAGACAACAGTGATCGTTCTAAAAAATTATCCAGAAACAATACATACAAAAATATTTATGTCCAAATCAATTATCAAAATTTATATTTACTCGGTTGCTGAGAATATAAGTCTTGGTTTTGTGTTTGTCCTTCATTGGTTTCAAAAATGATTTACAACATAATTGCACTAAATATGTCTTGTATTCATACTTTTGAGCTGTAGTCTGTAGATGTCTTTAACACACATCTTGATTTACTTGATTCCGTTTTTTTTTAACCAGAACTGTGTTTTGTTAGATGACAGATTACGTATACAAAAAATCCTGTATTCTATTACTGACGCCTTTCGTTGATCGTTTACAGGTACTTTTCAGAATGTTTCCTTTTCTGCACCCTCCAGATTGAATGCTGGTAGTACGTTGGTACTGCATTGTCGACCAAGCTCTAACAAAAACACATTCGGTTTCATTCATGCTTACGAATTTACCATAGAAAGAAGAAATGAAGACCCCAAAAGATTAGTGAGGATCAGTAATGGACAAAATGGTGGACTAAATATACAATGGGGGGACAAAATAGCAGAAGCCAGAGGAAACATACGGGGAAGTTTGGGATTTCCTAATGTGTCCTCTGTTCGAGTCCAGATTTCTGAAGCAGATTGTACAGATGATGCCGAATATACATGTGCCATACTGGATGAGAACAATCGACAGCCAACGGAGAGGTCGAGACACGTCACAATAATTCGTACGTACGCATCGTACTGGCATTGACAAAAAATTAATCTTGATACTTAATTCTAGTTTATAGTTAAATAGAACCAAAATATCAATAAGTTTGCTAGGAAATCTAACATAATTGATATTTATACGCATGTTCATATATAAAACGCAAAGAGAAATAAAAGAGTTTTAAAAAAAAAAGCATATATACTAGTATAAAAAAGTTTTACCTCAGAAAATCCAAATGGTGTTTTTCCTATTACTGCAACCTCTGTTCAACGCGAGGAAATGTCCAACAACAACCTAGGTATTATATCAGCCGCCCTGCAGAATGCTGAATCCACGCAATCTGAAGGATTACCCATTGGATCTGTCGCCATCCTTAACTGCACAGCCAGAGAATCTAACCCCCCACCTACAATACGCTGGTGCATCAAAAGACCAAATGAACCAACATTCTCTAACTTTGCCTTTGCCTCTGTGCAGCGTCTGGATATGGTAAATGACTCCTTGGAGATGCGGTCTTGTTTCTTTACAAAGACTAGTCTCCTTCCTTTTACGATAACGGCCGAGGACAATGGTACGTCACTGTCCTGTTCTACAGACACTACGGAGTGCCCAATAACAGCGAGGCCCAGCACGGCGTCCATCTACGTCATAATAACGACAGGTATATAGGCTAATTTCTCATTTCTATCTTACAATATTTAATCTGTAAAAAAGAAGAGTTTACAAACTTATTCTGTTACCAGTATCATGACTGTATATATCTTCTAAGGGAGTATCAGAGCACATTATTTTCAATATTACGTGTCTGTTCTATACTTCCACTTTGTATTGTTTCAGTGGATTTTTGATTTTGATTGCCACTCTTTATCTTCTGATTTATGATTGAAGCATTTGCAATTTCTACTACTTTTCAAAATTCTAAACGTTTCAAACTATTTTAGACTCCGATGATTCTAATGGTGAGTCAAATGAAGACGATTTGGCCGAGGTCATTGTAGCAGATTCTCGCTCATCCGGGACAGGTATACAGTAATACTTTTTTACTTAATTCAATGATTCATATTATCACCTGTTAGTTTCTGAATAAATTTTGCAAAAGTAAGTTTTCATAATTTTAACAACCTGTATGAAATGCCACTTCCTCTCAAATACGCTGGCCCTCAGTCCACTCATGGTCGTCGGACCTCTGAGAAACTTCCTTCGATATACAAGCATTACGAGCTGATTGCAGCAACGTCTAAATCATGATAGTCTTATTAATCTATTACCAATAATGTTAAACCTTTTGGCGGCAAAGAAACTGTAACACTGAGGTGTTCACTGTTTTGACGTTTTACACAATTTTTGAAAACCCTGATCTGGTTGAATTTGTGCTTATCAGTGAGAAGAAATAAAGTTTTTCGGGGATGGCAACGAGTGGACTTCGGATTCCGTAGGTTATGAGGATAGCTTGTGATATAAATTTACTATTTTTTATAGGTATTACAGCTTTAGTAACTGCAGGAATAGTACTCATTATAATCGGGGGATGCGGCACGGCACTAGCTATTTTTACATATACCAAAGCCAGAAGAATCAAAATAGGTAATTGAAGAAATACTTCGTTACCTCTTTATAATCGATGAACCATTCTAATAAGCAGCTCGACTTCATCTAGAGTATAGTTCAATAGTAGCAAGAGCATATTGTACGTATGTGCAGTTTCTAAAACGAGGTACATTATTGACAAACAAGTTGATGAAACAAGAATAGCAGCTGTCTTGCTTAAAGTCATCATTTCGTAAGTTCTACGGCCGATACAATGACTTTGTCAGCAAATACAATTTATTATTGAGTCAAATGCTGACTGACGTTTTTCATACTAATTGTTGGTCAATTATTTACACACTGAATCGACGACAGTTTTTCCGTTATTTCCCGATCATGACAAGGAGCACACAGCGGTTGTGACAGGTCAGCAGGGGATGCTTACTTCTCCATGGCACCTGATCCCTACTCTGATGTTTTGGAGGTCTGTGTTTTCTCTGCACATATTTTATATTATTTAATGGACTTTTGAGCTTGAATACAGTTCTCCATATATTTCATGAAAGAGTATAAGTATTTGGTTTGGTCATTTTCAACATGCATCATACAGCTATACTAGATATCTTCATATAACTGATCAATAAATGACGATTTTCTCCTTTCTAAGTGAATATAGGTTTCATATATCAATACCTTCTGGGTAGCATTTATGTCTATTACTAAATGTTGTTTGTCTTCGGAACTACATTAATTAATAGTTGAGGTCGAGATGCTTATTATAATGATGATTTTGTTTCCTTCATTTTTTAATTGCGCTTTTCTGAACTAATGTCAAAAGGTTTTTCAATGGACAACATTTTCTTGAAAGTAAAAGAAAACTAATTCGCCAGGACTTGCTTAAAAATCTGCATTTTCTCTATGTTTTATTGAAATCACTCTTTATTTCAGAATATGAAACATTGAAAGAAAGGTAGCTATGTTTCACTTCTCTCATATTTGCTTTCTAAGATATTTATACTTTCAATCAATTCCTGTTCGTTTTTTTTCCCATATACGTATGTTACAACATTTTCCTGTAAAATGTCATCCTTCAGTGGCATGTACATGTTTAGAAATTTTAAAGATTAAAAATAAAATTCCAACTTTTTGTTAGTAAAGTAAAATATGAAATATTTATAAATACTCTTCCCAGATAGACTGGTACAAAAGTATGCATGTATATTTAAAAGAAACAACTCGTATTACATTTATGTTAAAAACGTCTAAAACAGTAAAAGAAAAAAAAAAAGAAAGGAAAGAAGAACAAAAGTTCACCAAAAAAGAGAAAATTGTAGTTTTACAGTGAATAAATTATACGATTTATCATATGAATAAAGTATATTAAATTTTAAAAAGTAAAGTACAAGAACTTTAATTTCAAGTCCACGAGGATATACATTTTCAATAATTTGAATTCCGACAGATTGTTGAAAACTTGATAAAAAAAATTGTAGTTATTGTCAATCAGAAATTTGTGTCTTATAATAACAAATTCGGACTACTGAAATGTACAATGAAAAGCTTTTTTACAAAATAATTTTGCAAATGACAAAAGACAGGAGAAGTAAATTTTACATTTCCATTTTTTATCGAAAAACAACTGTATTTTATATATTTTTCGTGGGGAATGGTTGAATAAAGTGTTAAAAAGTCATACCTATTGATTATACTGATTATGGTAAAATTTTGTGATATCAAAGTTCCTTGTAGATTTTTAATATCAATATTTAATTTACACCACTTAGCCCTGAAATGTCTCCTTCACTTCTGTTGATATTTCAGTGAGGAGAATGACAGATCGAGGTTTCACAAAACATTCTACTGCATGGAACCCGCTATTTATCTTTGTTTGCAGGGCCTTTGATGTACTTAATTATAAGTATAATAATTTGAATTCAATTTTGATTGTTGGAATTATTAGAAATATATATTTATGTTTTAGAGGTCTGTATGTGCTCCGCTGCAAAATTTGAACTGTTTAATTGAGTTCTGTGTTTATAAACTGGTCTTTATCTCAATATATTTGATTTAAAACTGACATGAGTTTTAAGGTTTTCCTCGTTAGGTATAAGTTTGTTTATCATTTGCAGAATTAAATCCAAGCTCTTTAAATTAAAATAACGAGCTTTACGAACAAAAACAATGTTGTTATGTGCTTTGTCAGCTGGGTTTTCGATTTGTCACGTATAGTATTATCTGCAGTCACTTTCGTTCAAGATGTAGATAAAAGATTAATGATGCTAGTAGTTTTAATTTGATATGTTCGAGAAAACGAAGTTCAGCTGTAAAACTTTCACTATTACGTAGGGTTTATAAATGTGAAACAAAATTAAGGCTTCAATTATGATTTGGAGATGTTTAATATACCGGTAGATTGACATCGTTAACTTTTATTTAAACTTGGTAAAACTAAAAAAAAATGATGAGCTTATTTTTGTGAAATTAATAAGCTTTTACTAATACATTTACTTATTTTTCTTTTGTAAATATGACTATTTTTTCTATTTAAAAAAAATGTATCCCTGTTATTGATGTATCTAGTTATCTTTAATATTCTTTTCTCAGAATGTGATTAGTTGAATAAAGTAAATGAATAGTTTTTAAACATAATCTTTTAAAAAAGATAAATTTTTTTAAAGGATTTATCCTAAATGATGAACCAAAATAAAATTTTTAGGGAGAGATATCAAACATTAAATGAGATGCCAGGAGGAGCGGATCCAGTCACCTATGAAACCCTCGGGCGTAAAGATCCAGAAGGCAAGTTTCTAATGCTAACTTCAAAAGATGCATAACATTTGTATTTTAAAAGCTTAAAAATTAGTAAAAGAAAATGCACATCATATATTCTTGATTAATATTTTTCTAATTTGTTTTATTCAAGACTTTAACAGGAAGAACTAAGTGTTTTTCCAATAACTACTCTGTCTTTCATGAACAATTTTATTTTTTCAGATTCAGTTAACTACGTCAATGCAGATTACAGAGTTTATTCAGAAGTGGGACACAGAAATTCCGAGCTAACTGTAAACTCCTATACGTAAATCCTCGGATCAGTGAAATATTTGTCAGTGTTGTATTTTTATGTTTTTGATATTTTTGAAATAAAGTCTATTTATATTTGGTATTATGTTTTACTTTACTGCAAAACAGAGGTATGCTATTTTTAAAAAGCAAAATCAAGCTAAATCTTGGCAAGAAAAGCAAGGTCGGGTAGTAGATGAAATAATATGAAACCGAAGTGCCACAATGCTCACCCGTGTCGTATTTTGATTAACAGTGTACATGTATAACTGAGTATTGAGGATTTTGTGTAATGATTTTCTTGAAATCCTGAATATATTTCCATGTCATACCGGCAAATGTGTAATCACATCCTATCCCAAAGACTGAATTGCGCAAACATAAATTAAGAGAAGGATGTTTGCATCTATTCCCGTAGTTAGGAAACTTTGATCACATATTATACAATTATTTAATGCCTGAGCAGTCAATAGACCAGAATATTTTTCCCGAGGTGCAGGGAACAGCTCAGTGTGTTCTATTGCCCGAGGCCAGCGGCCGAGGGCAATAGAACACACTGAGCTGTTCCCTGCACCGAGGGAAAAATTTTCTGATCTATTGACTGTTCAGGCATTAAATAATTGTTTTATTACCTAATTTTTTTCCCGTATTAAGTGTTCACAATTTTATATTCAGTACAGAAGGTTACCGTACCGTATTGTAAAATTATACCTAGATATGGTGCATCTGTAATATTAATTAAAGATTGATTGTATAGACTATTGTTTTCATTCCTCTCGAAAATTTTTCACTCATATGGAGACGCCACCACTTGCCGGTGGAGAGGGACCTCTTTCCTACCAGCAGTGCACCTACTGCGACACGGGACCTCGGTTGACAGGTCTCACCCGAAGGACCGGTCTCCACGTCCCACTTTGTATTTATTAAAGTAACTCTCATTAAATAAAATATCCGTGCATTGAAATTACACAATTTTTAAAACCAATGTCGAAAGATCGAATAAGATGATTGTTTACCATGTCTGTGCAGTGTTCAAGCTCCAGACAGCTCAGTATTACGTAGGGCACGAAAGTAGTCCCGGAGAATCGACACTGTATGGAGTTTGTGCAGTGTTAAAAAACAACTCAATTTGAAACCCGGATCGTTTTTTTTCCGAAATACGTTGCCGGTCAATAGAACGTGCAATCTATTGACCGGTCAATAGATCGCCAGTCAATAGATCGGTTTGAAAAGATAAGAAAAAGTGAAAACACATACAGAATAGATGAAAATATTAAATTTATAATAAAACAACAAAATTCATTTGATTAGGTAATAAAAAAGAATAATAAATTATGACATATAAATAAAATATAAATAAAATAAGAAAATTTAAAACCTTTCTTGAATTTCAATTTTGAAATATACAATATTACCATATGAAATCTGTCCTGTAACCCCAAACTGTGCTTGCGTAGTTTGAACGTAAACATATTATGGATTGCAGTCTGTACAGTGTAATATCATGCAACAGTCTCGAAAGTTATTATTACACATCTACATGACTTAAATCTGTAATATTTCACTGCACGTGTGGTATCCTGAATATATTTATATATCCGGGTATCTGATGATGAAAATTAATTATTTCATTGAGAGATAAAGAAAGGGCTAATTACAAGTCAGTGATCTTATCAACATGGAAGACACAGTTATTTCGTGTTTATTGCTGTGCTTTCTTTTCCATCAAGGTGAGTCGAACTTTTTTTTTCAAAACAAAATTAAGAAAAAGGAAAAAAAAAAAAAAGGTCACTAAGTACTTCAAAATGTCAAAATTTTATATTTTAAAAAATCACAATTATGAAATGGTTGTTTATGAATTTTCAAAATACATATACTAGTAAATGAGATAAATATAAATATATCATATGTGTTTAATGCTGTCAAAACATTTATATAAAACTAAAGAAAGATGCTAACCCCCCTTATTACATCTAGTATTTAAATGGTATACACGTAAGAACAATTATAGTCGACCCTCTCCTTTCTTCACTTACGTTTGTTACTAGTTATTAACCCTTAGAGAAAATAAAAAGTTTGGGGTCCTGAGTATATCTGTATTATATTATAAGACTGGTTTTTCTATGAACCCAAGGAACATCACAGTATTGTCAGAAGTATTAGTTGTAAAACAATTCTCATTTACGCTGGGAGAATAATATTTTTACCTGTTTTAGTGACTTCTCAGACGAACTATCTGAACTTCTGGATCCCTGAAGATATAACTTATGGTGAAACCGTTTATATAAATTGCAAACTTAATGACGCTGGAAAGGCACAGTTTAGTGGTGTGTCCAGTGTGCAACTATACAGGCAGCGAGAGAATGAGGAAATGAAGTTAATAGTAAGGGCTGTGTATAACTTTGACTCCACGACAGCTTCAACAGATGTGGAATGGTTTGACAGAGATTTGGAAGAGAGGGGGAGGGTGACGTCTGACCTGGGACCCACCGATACCGCCATGTTCAGGTTACGAGTGGACAATGTGGATTGTACTGATCAGGGACTGTATAAATGTGTCCTTCGTGACGACGCTCCCACAGGAATGGAGGCAGTCAAAATGAGAACATCCACTGTATACAGTAATTCAAAATCATCTGTAGTTTTGTAGATATCACGTTATTTAAGGAAAACAGACATGATAATACTGCTTCCAAATGAAATTATTAATTACAAGAAAGTATCTCGTATGTAGTTCGATCAAATTACAAACGCAACCACAAACTGCAAAAAATTATATATGGTCTACATGCATCTCTCAAACGTCTATTAAAATAAGTTACTAATAGTATTTACTAGTATATTAAATCAAAAAGAATTGTGTTATTATTTAAGGGGACAGTAGCGGCGTTTATCCGATTGGTACGACGTACGTAAGTGGTGCACAGAACATGGACGTCAGTCAGCTAGCAGTGCTGGCCGCCCTGAAGGACCTACAGTATACATCACAGACAGTGTACCCTTCAGGCAGTGTGGGTCTTTTCAAATGTGTGGCTGCCCTGGCTGTCCCCGCCCCAAAACTACGCTGGTGCATCAAGCGACCCACCTCTTCTAATTTTCAGGCCTTTGATTTTGTTTCAGTTCAGCGTAAATTCCTAGCAAACACCTCATTATCTGCACAAGCTTGTCTCTATTCCAGTTCCAATATTCTAGTTTTTCCTATAAGAGACAGCGATAATGGGACAATTTTGTCGTGTTCTATTTCCGAGGAGGAATGTGGGACAGAAGATCAAACTGGTCCACCAATCATTGCAAATCCGGATAGAATCGTGGCATCACCTGTTAAGTCCGAGTCTCAGTCGGAAAGGGAGAGAGAAATTGTTATCTATATAGGTAATCTATTGCTGCTGAAATTCTGAAAATGAAGTAAAGTTTTATATCAAATAATTAAAACAATTTTTAAAAATTGAAATATCTAATATCCTTGAGCTCGTTGACAAATAATAAACGATTATCCGTGTATAAAGCAACAATACTAGTAATTTGGAACATCTTAAGTAAATGTGATACAGAATTTCTATATCGTGTGGAGGAATTCGTGAAAATGAATCCGTGTTCAAACCTGAATATACATGTATCTTAAGAATTAAATTTGAAAATGTAATTCCTAGTTCGTTGTAGAAAAAAAAATTAGTTGACTATGGTGTCTTTTTCATTATTCAGGAGAAGATAAAACTCATTTTGGGGTTAATGCTGAAGAAAATCGAGAAAATCGAGCCAACCAGATAGAGCAGTCATCGGATGACAGTACGTAGAGAATCAAAATTATCTTACCTCCAACTAGTGATCCTTGCATTTAAAGAGTAAAAAAACACATTCCTCCAAAGTATCAATTTCGCAATTATATGTGTGTTGGAGAATTTTTCAAGATATTTTTACATCAATATCTATATCTTAGGTACAATGATTGTCCTGGGAATCGCCATGGCCGTCATGTTTGTTGGAATAGTCTTGTTGGCTATGGCTGTTGTTACATATCTTAAGGCCAAAAAGACCGACGAAGGTAGTTTAATATGAAGCATATTTTAATAATTGTTTGACTAGCAATATTAAAGCATTTAATTATGCCTATACATGTATTGTACATTCAAAAGTAAAACAAAAATAACAAATTAATATGAGTATAAAGTTTTTAAAAAACTATCAAAAGATAAAAAAAAACCTTATTTGAGATGTTAGATGGTCTTTAAAATTTAAACAATTTTTATTGTAGTGGGAAAAATTAAGGCCACAGCAGGCAATGGAGGGTAATTAAGTTTTTCTTTTATCTAGTTATTCGTATCTTGTCAAATTTATATCCATCTATTCTGAATGACTTCTAGATTTAATCAGTGTACGACGTATTGGTTTTTCATTTAAGCAATCAATACACAGATCTTGAGATGAGAAAGAGAGGCGAGAGTGTCCATTCTGAGATATATACGGCCATAGAGAACCTCCCGCCCGGTATGTACAATCTGAAAACAACTTCATTAGACTTTGTGGAATCTTTTGTGAAATAACCTTTAATTTATAGCCACTGAGAGTATTGTGAAAACATTTAACATAAGAAGAATTAATTCGTTTTTTACTAAAGTGTGTTGTTTGTAGGATTTACATATATCATAACACTTCACAACGTCACTGCATACTAGTATATAAAATGCCATTTAGATAATATTCCTTTACTATGTGTGTTTTCAGATTTGCCTACATCAGGAAAACCATACGAGGTAGACGATATGTACATGTTACCAGTTAACTGAACATTTGCATCGTTCAGGTAACTGTCTTCGAAGCAGAGGCATGTCTGATGGATTGCAACAGCTATTTGAATTACATTATACAGATTTGAACCTCAAGCATCACAAAAACTTTGTTACTTTAAAAATATTGAATAATAATGACATGTGTAGAAAGACAAGCTATCTTGTACGTCAGGGTTTTTAAATCTCCATGTGCGTATGTTTTCTGTTTGAAAGTTTGAGTTGTGAATCATTTGCCAACATATAGACTTATAATTAATACTATTATTATTTGTTCCATGTTAAAGGACGGACATCTCTTTTGCTTTTTGTCCTTGTTTTTGAGTTTGCATTGGACGTTATAACAAATACTGGTAGTATATCATCAATTTGTTGATTCTTTACATTCAGAAATTTTATTTTTGTGGTTTTGATGTAAGAGACTATAAAATTTTGGTTATCATTGTCATTAGAAATTGTTTCCTCTTGAACTACTCTAAAAATATACTCGTATTGTATTTGATAAAATCAAAAATAAAACTAAGAAAAAAAGTTGAGATTATGTTCAACTCATTTATTTAGAAATAATAAGGAAATACAGTCATACAAGAAAAACATGTATTTCGTCTTCTCTATATAATTTTACAATTGTAAGAATAAATCATTGTCATTGTCAACTTAGTAATGATAGAACACACAGTGTGAAACAAGATGGAGATAACAGGTGAAACTGAATGTAAGTACACAAAAACTCAGAACTGGTGATGTACACTTTTATAAACAGCTACTAGAAAGAATTTAACGATCCTAATTACACACAATTATCACCTTTCTTTCCTCTTGATGCCATCATCAGAGCGAAATCCATTTTTTATGGTTAAATTTATCTTTATTCACATTACACATTTTAAAACACTAACCATCGCAAGGATTTAACAAACATATTATTTATTTATTGTATATCATGCATTTCTTTTCAACAAATAATTTAAATCATAAACGATAGCAGTAATGCAAAAATAAAGACCAAACATTTTGAGCTGCACTTAAAAAGATGCGCCCTTTTAAAAATTATGCAATTTATAATAAAAAGAATTTCTTTTATGGGGAGTAGAGGACTTTCGCATTTTGTTAGAATGCTTAACTACAAAAGACTATAATTTAAACTTTGTAGAAATTGATATTTATCTTTTTCTTCGTTGTTTCAATCAAGTAGTGACACATAAAAACAAGCCTGTACATTCCTACATAACAAAATGTCTTAAATAATTACATAAGGTGCACAGAGCAGCAGAACAAATATAAAAGAAACCAATTGCGTGTAAACAATTAAAAAATACTGAAGGACTGAGCAGAGCTTCGTGATATTTATGATAGGAATGTCTGATTAAAATTTGTAGAATGTTATACATTGTATATAATCCGATACATCCAAAGGTTCTCTCACCTTTATCCATATTTTATCGGTATTCATCATACTCATCTTTTTCCTTTCCTGATTTACACACAACCAGGGCGAAAATCATCAACAAGAGCTAAAAACAGATTTTTACAAACTATAATTGTTTTATCAGATTTTACACTATTTAATTATTTAATTTGAATATGAACGCATTTTACTTTGCGCAATTTTTTAAAAGTGTTTAAATTGTTGAAATTCAACTCTATAGTTTTAACTCTCTCTCTCTTAAATATATACAATACCTCAACTGCTAAAACAGCAGCTCCAACGCCTATCATAATGTTTTGGTTCTTTGAAAGCCAGGTGTCTATTGCATCATAGCAACCCTAAAAGTTTTATTGTGAATAACTTATTAACAAGGAATTTTAACCAAGTTAAAGATTTCAACAGGTTTAATTACTAGTATTCATTTCCAACGAAAGGATAAATTAATCTTAGAAACTTACCTGATCTATATAAGAATTATTTCGGTCAGGTGTATATATACAACTGTCTATAGCTTCACTTGTTCTATTTTTACAACAAATGACTGGAATTTGAGGGTTTTTCTCCTCTTCGCCTGTCTCATTTTTCCATAATTTAGACGAGTTGAAGTCTGCATAATTGTCAACACCACAACACTCAAACTTAAAAAAAACAACAACACTATCTCAAAACAGATTGTATGCAACAGTTTTATCAGTTAATGAGGATTGCCACGATAACACGCAAAGCACATAATTACTGTTCGTTCAATCTTACATACAGTAACAAAATTGGGTATAATTTGAAAATTACGGCCTGATGGAGAACTTTTAAATTTCATTTTATTCTCTTCACCTACCTCTACTGATACAAAGTTGATGGCTATCGAAATGGATTCTTTTGAACTAATCCCTTTGTATTCTTCCTGTATTGCCTTTTTGAACGGCTTCTTTATCCAACTATCAACCTAGCATGACAATTTAAGAAACTGATGTTGTTAATGCTTTATTTAGCAACAAGGAAATTTAATTCGTTTAAGGAGAAAATCAGAAATATTTAATCTTTTTGGTGAAATATTAAAAACGTATTGCTTTCATACCTCACTTCTAACAGCAAAAATCAGTATGATAAATGTGATTTCTACCAACAATAGAATTACAAGGAAAACGACGTACTACAAGAAAAATATAATATAATAAGATAATACAATTTTACAGTATTAATTAATAGTTTGAGAAGAAACCTTGAAAAGCCTTTGCAATAGTAACAGAATATTTTTGATACAATTGACAATATTCTATGAGCACAAAATTTGTTAGCTAGAAATAAATTAAATAACCAATAGATAAATTATGTACCCTATTAAAAAACAAATCACATCTTTCCACCTGCTTACAATTATTACAAAAAACTTTGTTTAACAATAAAACTAATAATGTTACATAAAATAATGACTTTTGGCTTGACGAAACAGGAAGAGACAAAATGCAGATATTTACCACTACAAGCATACATTTCACTTGGCAACAAGCGCCTACACAACCAAGAATACCGAGGACAAAGAAAAAGGCGCCAAGTATTATAAATGCCAAAGTGGCGTCTCCGACGAAGTCAGCGATGTTGAAGTCGTTGAGATTGGTATCAGCCCCTGCATCCTTTAAGGCAGAGGCAAGTCTGCTGTAGGAATCCTGGAGGATATTGTTCATAAAATCGTTACCCCATCTCACGACTGACCCCACCACTAACAGGGTTAGCCCAATCAGCTGAAAATGTATGATACAATGCGAGTGGTTGGGAAAAGATTGAAAGCTAATCTTCCTTTTGAAAATTTGAAATGCAATGCAAGTGTTTGGGAAAAGAAAGCTAATTTGCCATTTTAAAATCTGAAGTAGTTGTTGACTTGAAAGCTTAAAATGATAGAATATTTTTTGGTCGACTTACTGAAAAAACGATGTTGACGATTGTGAGGAAAAATTGGCTGCATCCTTTGCACGCACCCATGTTTGTAAAATTCTTCTCGACTGATTCAAACCACAAAGAAGGTCACATATCTAACCTGTAAATCACAAAATTCATATTGTAAAAATTATCCATAAATATCCCAAATTTTCGGACTTGTAAGTCCTACATTTGGAGTTTATTTAGCAAGTTACTCACTTTATCATATGTTTTAGTTTATACATTCATGTGTTATCACCAACAGTGTCTATATCTATCAAATAAAATACATGTATCAGGAAGAAAACTTTTTTTTAACTCTGATAAGCTGACGGTGAAATCACCTCTATATTTGTATATATGTAATTTCAGAACTTTTTGTTACCATTCTTTTATGATATACTGCGTATCTGGAAAGATTTACAATTTAGATGTACTTGAGTATCACCTTACCAATAGCTTTTGATGTGGATCGCGTGCTTCCTGGTTATAGTCCAAAATTTAAAATTTCATTTTACTTGTTAACAAGACAATAAATAGAGTGATTTTATCCCCAACAATAAAAACAAAATAGCACGCAATTTTTCTCGATGCATTTACGATGAAATTTTTGCAATTAGAGATGATTTATTAAATTTTAACAATGATATTCAATTTTTTCAAAAATTCTTAATTCTTTTCTAATACATGTACAAGTTTCTTGTTTAACGGACATTTGTCATGAAAAGAAAGAATTATTGTAGATATATGAATTTCAAACTGCAAACAGAAGAGTGGGATTTGTTTATCATGAAGGTGAAACCTAAAATAGCTTCTCTCATTAGAGACGTAAGTATTTGTAAATGAAAATCTACCTTTGAAATTGATATTCTGCCATGTTAAGGTTAAGGTAAAGATATTACTTAAAACCAGAATATCAATATTTTATTAAAATTTTAAGATATATTTCAAAATATATTTCTGAGTAATCAATCCCTTAAGATATGAAATAAACTACCCAGTTTAATGATTATATTGATTGTTAGATAACATTACATGTTAGAGATCAATATTTTTATTGAAAGATACTTGTTGAAATTCTTTATGACTTTTGATGTGATTTTAAGGGAAAGGTAGGCTGGCTCTCTTTTACCTTATGACTTAAAAGAGAAAAGCTATCTATGCCTTAACAAGGATCTAAACAAGTATCATCTATAGAAAAAAAAATACATTTACATTCACTGTTCATATATTATTTTGTTTTACATACATTTTTATGATGTTTACAAGTTAAACATCGAATTGGGTAGGAAATCCTTCATAACTCATTATTTGTTAAAATCTAGCAGAAATGTGCAATTGGTAGATATTTAAGCAGTCCACTACATGTACTTATGGTCAGTGCTTGATTGTCATACTTAATGTTATTTTCTGACATGGGGTTATGGAAGGTCAACATAGGCGTATCCTTTGCTTGTCCCCAGGTCGTGTTAACACGTAAAGAACTAAGTGTGCATGACAAGTGTAAAGAACATTGCAATTAACAACCGATACATAGCATGTATAGGGCACCTCATTATCACTCTGCAAAATAACGTTGCTATGGTTTCTCGATTTGTTTTTTGGGTGCAAATTAATAATATACAGTTTTTGAATGCGTTTTTTAATAGAATTTATTCATAATTTTGAAAGCTATTTCAAATGATAATCTAAAGAAATTTATATTTTAATTAACTAATATTTTACTCGAGCAAAGATTTGTTAGTTTTATTAAACTTAGGTTAAACATGAAATAGTTTGTATAAAACTTACCTACACCTATCCAGGAAGTTTTACAAATCAGAATGATATATTGATTTTTATAGGTTTTATCTAAAGTCATGCATTAGAATATCTTGCAAAGAAGTACAACCGACGTCCATACAAGATAATCAACACCTACTTGAAAAAAAAATTATCTTCCTCCATTACATTTTTCTTATTTTGAATAAAAAATAAAACAAAGAATACCTTCAAGTCTTGTATGTCCACTCAAGCAGCCTAAATATTATTCAAGTACAATTCCTCTTCCTATAGTAAATGAATATAGAATACACTATAGGAATGACTTCATTTTCAAGCCATCCACAGCCCTGGGACAGATAGGTAAATAACAATACGTTGTAAATGTTGATAAGGTCCTAGCCACAGGTAGATATGGCCATCTGTAGATACCTGCATGGCTTTTCTGTTTTACACCCTCCGTTTATAGATTGAGACTCGTGTAGGTGTATGACATTGTGATAATTAATTATACACACTTCTTGATCACACTTTAAACCAACAAGCAATAAACCTTAATTAGGATGCCTACCTTTTCAAATTCTTCATCTTAACCTTTTTCATTTCAAGTCTAACACATATCAATTATTTCCTCTTAAACCAAAGGTATAATTTTCCATGAATCACATCTTTAGACTTTTTTAAAGAATGAAATATATACCTACTTTTCAAGTCAAAATACCATGTACATTGCATGTGATGGTTGATATTCGTCTCTCTTCGTATCCTTCCTTTCAATGTTATAATACGGATCCTTGTCAAATTTTCTGATTTTAACATAAGACCATATATAACTTAATTAATGCCCCTTATAAATTTGTTGCTTACAATATTTGACATGAAATTCAACTTTTGCAACAAATACCTTTCTAAATATCCTCATAACCGATGGCCTCAGTACAGAGGCGTATATGTGTCTACACTTTTTGTATTATTACAATATAAAAATTGACTCACCACATATCACGTGTTATGTCTTAGCTTGTTATTTATTCACATATTTTGAATTGAATAGGTCTTTTAACATATTGTATTAAAACATCTTTCATTTGATTGATCTGATTGCTAAATATCAAATCAATAAAGTAAAGTCAACGTGTTTTGACAATTAAAACATGTATAGAGTAATATCGATAAACATTGTAGATATATGAAAATTTCCGGGTGAAATTCCTTATCATATCAATATAGTAAAATCTTATCTAATACTAGTAGAATGCTAACTGATGTTTGTCATATAATTGTTATTCGATTATTCTAGATATATAGACGACGTATCGTCAGTTAACAATGGTAATTTACATATTTCCATTCTTATGTTGATGCGATATGTCCTGGTGAGCTTGAGATAAAACATACCACAGAACTTTGATACAACTGTTTCATATTTGGATGTTTTACGTGAAAAGACATTTGTGGTAATCTAACAACCAAACTCTATGATAAACATGATTACTTTAACTTTTCAATTGTCAATTTCCCTTACTTATGCAGCAATAAACCTACATCATCTGCATACAGAGTTTATATATCTCAGTTGATTCGATACGCAAGAGAATGCTTTATGTATGAACAATTTCTAAAACGAGGTAAATTATTGACAAACAAGTTAATGAAACAAGAATATTAGCAGTTTCCTTTAAACTCATCATTTCGTAAGTTCTATGGTCGGTAAAAAAGACAATGTCAGCAAATACAATTTATCACTGAGTCAAATATTGACTGACGTTTTTCATACTAATCGTTAGTCCATTATTTATACACTGAATTGACGGTTGATTTTTCCGTTATTCTCCGATCATGACAAGGAGCACACGGCAGTTTGACCGTTCGCAGGGTAAGCTCACTCCTTCATGGCACCTGATCCTACCTCTGATGTTTTGGAGGTTGGTGTTTGTTATTGCTGTCCTATTGTGTATTGTTTTATGAATTTTTTGATCTTGAGTACTGTTCGTTATCTCCATATGTTTCATTATTTACAAACTAAATTGTCTACGGATTTTTTCGTTTACCTGATCATGGCAAAGAGCATACGATGAGTTTGAAGGGTCGAAAGGGGATGTCTACTCATCCATGGCATCTGATCCCATCTCTGATATTTTGGAGGTCCTTGTTTGCTCTCCTGTTGATTTGTATTGCTTCAATGGGCGTTTGGTGCTGATTTAAGTAGTCCCCATATTTACAGAGATAACTAATGGAATTATCTATATTGCAAAAATGCTGAATACCGGTATTTCCAAAATATATTCAATGCGTCTAAGACCCCAACCAGGCTCCAAGACCATACACTGAGAACAAACTTTAGTCAAAATTTCAAACCAATATAACTTTTAAAATAATTTTGAGAATAAAGCAAAATTTCATGATATGTTTGAATTTAAATTTCACTAAAAACTGCAAATTTTTAAGCAAAATCATTCAATAAAACTCAAGGAATAAAGATTATAATTTTGACTTGTGTCTGTTCTCCTCCTTTTGTGGTCTTGGACTTCCAAGCCAGATTAATGCTATTTGAATGTCTACAAAAGAGAAACAAAAATGCAGATTTTTGGTGTTCTTATATTTCATTATATATATAAAATGATCCAAAAGTAATGTCACAACTTTGATAAAACTGCTAGAAATCGACGAAAAGCAACACAATTATACATGATAGACGCTTTATTTACTAGTATTTTAAATCATACCTGAAAAATTTAAAGGAATATGATGTACACTTTCCAAAATATAGGATTTTAAACAATATGCGTTTTTGGTAGTCAACGCACCTAAATATAACGTCATATGACGGATACGCAGCGTCATACTCTTAAGCTAATTAAAAAAATATTTGTGATTCGCAAGCACTTTCACCAATTCCACTTTCTTTAAGAATTCTTGGTACCATTATACACTCACTCTTTTCATAATTACGCCCTCTGTCAAAATTTTTTGAACAGTAGCATAAGACCAATGACCAATCACCCGCCCAAAATTGCTGAAACCATCTATTAAGATGTCTCTTTATTTTCATTCTTTTTTTTGTGTTTGATTACTAGTAGTTTCGCTAGTGATGATTCCCATATTTGGAAGCAAAAATGCACTACAACTCGTCGAGCCGTTTTTTTTCCAATTTCGACAATCCCTTATTCAATGCAACAGAGTAAAACAACAATGTTTATGATCACAAATACCAATGCCGTCATTTAATGTTCAATTAAAGACTAGAAAATGATTAGAAATTGTGTCTTTTAAAAATTGGGACATTAGGTGCTTTTTTAGAATCTTTTTAATGTGTTTGTATTTTTCATTCTAAGAAAAAAAAATACATTTTAAAACGTGACGTTCCGTTGTGACAATCTCCAAAGGTCAACAGAACCATTTACTTTTTTGAGAAAATATACAAATCCAATCCTTTTATTCCTTGCAAATTAAACTGCCAATTGCTTTTAAACATTTTAATAAAAACAAAGATTAAGCCCTACTGTGTCCAAATATGCAAACACCAGAAAAATACCGATATTCCCTCGATATTTCCTCACGTTCAATTTTTTCTTCTCCGTGCACGCTGGTAATGTCATTATTGGGGACAAGAGGGTTACATGAGGTTTCTATAGTTCTATTAAACAAAATTATTCAAAAACTTTAACATAATAAGTAAACACTTGCTGTGGATTCTATATCTATCCATTTGAACTGGAAATAAAAGACACCATAGATTTGCCAAGTCTCCTTTGACTGATGTACACAAAAAGCTAAATAAAGACAATAGACCTCACATTTTTCTTCAGAAATTTTATTACTAAAAATAGTTTTTCAGCTGGAATTCAGGTCCTTCGGATGAGACCTTAAAAACCGAGGCCCCGTGTCAGCGGCAGGCGTTGGCACGATAAAAGATCCCTCACTGCTCAATGGCCCTGAGTGCCGAGTAAAGGTCAAAATTTGAAGCCCTTCACCGGCATACGGTGACATCTCCATATGAGTGAAAAATTCTCGAAAGGGACGTTAAACAATATACAATCAATCAATCAACTGGAATTCAAAATCATAGTCATCAAACATATTTTACTTTTAAAGTCTATAAGTACACTCATGCAACTATAGTTTTTAAGAATCTCACTTGTGCTTCACATTCGAGAGATTATTGTTTTAAAATCCTGTGCCACTCTTGAAATGAATTTTATATCTAACTTCAAAACGTCTATCGTATAGCTCTCAGGGTTTTTTAAAGCAAACTTTCTTGCAATACTCGTAATTGTCGTGTTTCATGTAATGATTGCATTCAAAGCTTGGTTTTTAATATACTTTATAAATAAAATTTTACAACAAAAACGAGTGTCTGTAATGAATAAGTACAAATCAAGTGTATACTGTGCCTAGCTGCGGGTAAAAATTCCATTTGGATTGGAGAAAAGGAAATGAGGAATGGATTGAGTCAAAAGAACAAGTACATTTCTGAATGTTGTTATTTTTTTTTCGGAACAAGGCTTTCGTGTTGAATTAATTTTAGTTGTAATGGTACTTCATAAGAAATTTTTGTATAATACTTACTTAGTAATTAGAAAAATATACATGCACGTGATTTACACTCATGATATTGCAGATAACCCATGCACTCCGTTCTGTCACAATATAAACATAGCACAGAGTTACAACATACTCATAGATTATTTATGACACTGAAAATAAATATCATAAAAATACTACTTGATATTTGACAGCGAGCAGCATCGTTGGGCGTCCCACTGTTTCGCGGAAAGGCTCGTACCACAAATGTTTTGTTCATGGCTCCATATCCACAGAAAAACATGCTGCTCACCGGTTCACACAAGAGAACGGTGTTCACGTCCAGTGTTGTCATGGTGTAATTAAGGAATGACTGTCTCTTGTAGTTACAGTCCTGGTGTACTACTGGTTCTGACTCTGATATATCAGCTGTATAAGCTTCTAACGGAGCAAATCCGCCTTCTCCGCTCTGTTTATAGCACCAGCGCAAACTCATTGGAGGATTTCCGACAATCCCGGTACATGTGAACCGATACGTTGATCCAATGAGGAATCTTCCTCCTCCAGACGGATCTAACATGTTGTCATTTGTTGGAGGTGTATAGATTTCATCTATAGCTGTCGCAGTTGCTGCATACAAAGACATTGCATCATATTAGAATGCTTTAGAAGTAATCGAGATCTTAAATATATGAAATGAAAATCATAATGCAAACATTGAGACAAAGATTTTGCGAAGCATCATGCAGTCAAATAACTCTTTTTTAAGCAAATGACTTTTTGAATTATTTTGAATTGCTTGAATTTTTGAGTTCTTTAATGCAACAAGCCCTGAAAACCTTCAGCTTTTCGGCAGGACAGTTTGCCATATTGAGAAACAAAAAGCAACTTTACTTCTCACGTTGACATATTTGGAAGCCTGATCGACGTAGGTGGCGCTATCATCAGAGGTCCGCCCATTCAGAACACACGTGTAATTACCCTCGTCCCTACACCTCGTAAGGTTAGCAGGGACAACTACCCTCAGGAATTTATTGGCTGGGTTGTCGTCGTGGACATTGCCAGTCAAGTTGTACCTGTGCAATAAAGTCATTTTAATAAGCTGCCCTTGTAGGAAACAGAACATGCGAACAAAATGCTTATTGTGCGATTGTGAAATGCAGAAGTGCAAAAATAAAATTTCAAATTATTACATTTTCTTTCATATTTCATAATCTAAAATTTTAGGTTAAAAAAATACAACCTTTTCATATCAGGTGATCTTTGCTCAACTTTTTAAAGATTATATTCAAAGGATACGTCAAAATATTCATGTTTCGGTTTACAACACAAAGACACACTATACATTGAAAACAACATTTTAATAGCACAACATTCGTGTCTTTAAAATATTTGAATTGTATATTCTTCATAATTTTATGCCTTTCAGTGATATATACTCAATTCTAAAAATACAAAGTGTACAAATTAAAATACAAATTGTATAGATTTTGAAGCTACATATAAAGATATTTTGTACACCTTGTCTATAAATGAAATAAGCAAATAACCCAAGTACATGTAATAACGTAGATGTAGGATCTTTAACATACAAAAATTCTTTTCTAAGACTACGCAGAATTACATCCAATAAAACCAATGAAAGCAATTTTACTTTCCTGAAAAAAAAATATCTCTCAAATATATAGACAGCAGTTTTGTGCCTAATAATTAAAAATCAGACACCTATTTGTCTACCTGAATCTGTTGTCAGTAACGTCAGGCACAATAAGATTAGAACCTTTCGAGGTACGGTTATAGGTGACCAGAGCGACTCGAGTTCCATTCCTGTGCACGGTGAAGGAATCTACGTATAGAAGCATCTCACTATTGGCAGGGCTGCATCTAATGTCAAAGGAGTTCACATTGAGTGTAACATCACTAGTCTGAATAAGTACACCTTTAACACCTATAAATAGCACAAAGTATTTTGTTATTTTCTAAAATAGAATTTGGATGGATATAAGTACAATAGAGATTAAGTAATGTATAACGGGGTGTGATTCAAAGGGAGAAGATGAATAACGGATTTGATAATGAATTTTTTATAAAAAGTGTGAACATGCTTTATCTTAATTGAGTTTTCCCAACTTTTCTGTTGTATTTTGGTGCAAAAAAGAGAGAGCAGAAGCCCCTACCTGATATCAATATTATTGTTAGAGTTACCCACAGTACATCCATTTTGTTCCTTGATGTGCAAAATGATACTTCATGAGTATTTGTAAAGTTCCGATTTCCCAGGCCATTCAGTTTTATTGTTTTATTATCAGTAACAGTGTTCGATCTATTTTTGTCACCAGGCAGCAAGTTGTAAATTACAATCCATTTTGCTTTACAGCTCCCAACAAGACGGAAAATATTAACTCAAATTTCCATCTTGCAGTCCCATTTTTTATGCATCAAGAATTTTTTTTTAAAGTTTATTTTATTTGTTTGGTTTTCTTTTAATGAATTAAAAATCTTAAGTCAATTCCAGCCTCCATTTATTTATCTATTTACTATACAGTTTTAGAATAAATTATATAGAGATAAAGAACAGTATTCAAGCTAAAAATTCCTTTTAACAAACAAATATTGGAGCAGAGCAAGCAGGGACCTCTAAAACATCAGAGGTGAGATGAAGTGTCATGTAGAAGTGAGCATCCCCTGTCAACCGTCACACCCTCCGTGTGCTCCTTGTAATGATCGGGAAATAACGGAAAAGCATCGACAATTCAGTATGAATCGTTATCAGCTTTATATGAATTTCTGGATTTTTTTTTTTTTGAATAGACAAATATTGAAATTCTATGGTTTTTATTTTTAGTAATATACCTGGGGTATACCATCTTTCATTTTATATTTGATAAGCTACTCTATTCTCCATAATACCTCAAATAACGTTGCAGTGCCTATACATTTATTTCACGTCTATGGTGTTAATATTTTTAACAACCTTTGTCGTGTAAGAAAAATAGAGCTGAACTCCTCACAGTTATCTCTCTTTCCGCTTTTGTGACAAGGACTGGGAATCGTTGTTGTTTCTTAGTTTGTTTGTTTGTTTGTTTTTTTTTGGGGGGGGGGGGGGGGGTTGTAACTTGACTTTCTTCAAGAATTTTTTTTCTCATAAAATTGTGTGTTATGAAGCGGAATTTGTGCAAAATCTTAATTAGGCGTGAAAAGAAGAAAACACTTGCTGTGGCCTTCAACTCTACATTTAGATATATCGACGACGTATTGTCAATTAACAATAGTAATTTCCATTTTAAAGCTGACATGAATTCTTAAAAACGCAACTTTTTCATCTATGTACGACTTGTTTCATACCAACTATAGCCGTATTCCGCCATATTTCTTTCAGATACCTTGTCTTATTGTAACGATATATACCCCATACCCTCGTTACACTTGAATGATTTTTTGGCTTGGCTATCGACTTGTGCACATCTCCGATGGTAAAACATTTGAAAACATATGGGTTGATCAAGACATTTCAAACCACACAACATAATAATCATATTTCTGAATAATTAAAGATTTGAATCAAATGTTATAAAAAAGAAAGAAAATGCAAGTTTGAAAGAAAGATTTAGTTGCACGAGTACGCATTTTTACACTGCGCCAATTTATGCAGATAAAAAGCACTAAAACCCGTAAACACACTTTGAAATTATTATCATTTGAATGGAACAAAACAATCAGCGTCTTTGATTTGCATGTTTTATGCAGACTTTGATGCATGTCGAGAAAACGCGTCGAACGCTGTAAACGTACCCATACCTGGTAATAAGATCACTGCATCGGTTCGAAGATGTGCACAAGTCAAGTGATATACACCTTGAATTCCATTTATTGAAATATGCATCACAAAAAAGAAATAAACTCCATAAAAACTCAATAAACACACTGTATCTACTCCGTACAGTCTAGCGCGTCGATACACTTAGTCCGTGCTGATCAGATTTTTTGGTCAGGGAAAATATCACAAGTGGAAAAGAGTGGTATTTGCGCGGCTGAAATGGGAGGGGGGGGGTCTAAAGTATAATTATAACGGCTTTATAAGGTATAACTGAAAATTGTCTATCTAGTTCTAATAAGCATTCTTTATATAGTCTGCAGTTGTTTTGCATCGCAAAATTCATTTGTCAATTACAACTGATTATTTTAGTACTAATCTCAAATCTAAACCAAATAATTTGATATACGGTAAATATTTAGTTCAAGACTTAAAAACATTTCACCAGAATACAAAAGTTTATGTGTACATCTGTACGTTCTTTAACATACCGCGGAAAAAAAACATCCCCGTTTAGACTGATATTGAGGCATTCCACTTAGCCAACATTTTGAAAAAATACAGGTAAAACACAGGTAAATCTGTGTTGGCTAAGTGGGAATGGGGTGTAGGTGGAGAACAAAACAAAATAATTACAGGTAGGCTATAGTCTGTTTTAAAGTGAATAAAATATTCATTAATTTTAGTCTATTTTAATTTGATGTATTTATTTTAGAACAGTTATATCAGATAGTCAAAATTTAAAAAAAATTATTTGATGTAAAGATAGGGCTTTTTGTAAATTACATAATCATGCACATTTCAAATTTAAGATATCAAGAATGTTTGACAATAACCCATTTATTTTACATATTTTATCTTACATTTAGAAAACAGAAAAAATATTTAGTCAATTAAACTCTAGAAATGCTAGGTTTTACATGTTTAAAATTGGCAAAAATTTAAATTTGAACAAAAATCACATTTTATATCATGATGTATATTTTCACTTAATCCCTTTTCATATTTTAGCTCAGATATTCGGATCAATATAAACATGTGGATTTATGTATAATTTTTATAAAATAAAAAATGCACAATTCATTGATTTAATATATTTGAATTGTTATTAGTCTTTCCTTCTTTCATTGTTTTAAAAATGAAAAAGACACAAATATGTTGTAACATGCCTTTTTTAAAATGTACAAACATTTATATTTTTAATTGATATTAATTTTTTTTTTTGGGGGGGGGGGGGGGGGGGCATTTTCCATAGTAGAGTAAAACTATACAAATAAAACAAAATGACAGGAATTCAAAAGAAGTTTAGTTTTGTGGACATTATGGGGCTCAATATATAATTAAATAATGAGGGTTGTGAACATCAAGTATGGAATGAATATTGAAGCTGGTGTCTTCATCAGGTAATAAATCACATTATATAAGCTTTAATTACTGTGTTCATAAATTACCATGATCAAATATTACATACTCAGATAAATATTTCTAATCTCAAGTGTTAATTATATTAGAGTATTCAAAATTCTCTCATTTTTCTTTTTTGTTTCATTTCTTATAAAATTAATTTCTATTAATATTTAATTTTTTTAATTTAAGTTTTAAAAATGCAGATTTTACTGTATTTATTTTAAAATTCTGGAATTTTTTTTTTTTTTTTCTCTGATTTTATAATTTTATTGATAACAATTTTTAATTTTAATTTATGTATTTTCACACATTCCAATAGTAGTAATTCTCAGGTAATCCATATATACTCATACCTGAAAACAGACTATAGCCTGTTGGTCACTCAGGTGTAAAAATCAAAATGTTGGCTATGTGGGAATAGGTTTTTTCAAAATGTTGGCTAAGTGGGAATAAACCATTTTTAGAGGGGGGGGGGGGGGGGCAGAAATAATTACATGGCCGTTACCTAAATATTCTTGGAAGACAGACATTTCTGCCAAATCCATTTTTGAAGATTTTTTATTGTCTCACTCCGACCACAAAGTATGTACAGTTTTGCGGAATGTGGCTGTTTTATAATTATTACAGGAAGTCTTTCGAGATTTCAGTATCCCTGTCTGACAGTCTAGTTTTTTTTTTGAAAATAAAAATAATTTCTGTCGCAATATTTGGGAGATACTTTTCAAAACTTGGGTAGGGATACTTGAAACCTGGTTGAATACAGATAATTTTTAATTACTCTTTTATTCATTGAACTCTCTCGCTCTCTCTCCTCCTGTAACCATCTGTAAGCGCAATAATAGATATAAAATCATATGTATTTTGTGCTGTACCATTTATTAGATCTTGGGACAGATCAAAGATTTTTTTTCAGGAGGGGATGTCGAAACTTGTTCAAAAATTGAAATAATAATTTTACTTTTGACAAAAAAATAAACCTAAACGCCGAAATTGAAAGGAAAATTCATGTAAACGTGAAGTCTACACATCATAGAAATGGGAACATTGGGAACTTTCTCAAATACATGTACCTTCTCAGGTAAGGAATCTGGACAAAAATTATGTAGACAAGAGGTATAAAAAAGCTAATTTTTGGTAGAATGTGGAACTCTCATCGGCAGTTTGCTTTCCCTTCCTATATGCTTCGACTATTAATAATTTATATCCAACCCAGATATTTCTTGACATGCAAAAAACCCCGTAAACTCGCCCAACCTTCAAAAACTATTTGGGGGGGGGGGCGTGTAGCCGATGACTTTTAATGCTTCAAACCTTAGACTTTTCGTACCAATTTAACACAAATTCGCGTTTACCAGGGAGTCTGCGTTTTCCGAGGGGGTTCCAACGTAACTTTTTTTCTAGCTTTTGTATATAAATTTAATAACCTTGCAAATCACAGGGGGGGGGGGGGGGGTCCTAACCCCCTCTAGATCCGCGCATGGCACTCATGCATAGAATCACAACACAGCCACTTCAATTTATATTGATGGGGGACCTCCAAAATCAGTTGACAAGCAAAAAAAAAACAAAAAAACAAACAAACAAAAAACAAAACAAACACAAAAAACAAAACAAAAAAATCTATGCACCACACTCTATGCAATCCTTTTTTGTAGGGGATAAAGGAGGCTTCCTGTAACTTTTCTGTTCGGTACATTACTTTTACATGCTTGAATCTGCGTATTTTCCTGCAAACAAAAAATGTGGAGAGAGCTTCCAAATCAAAATTTTAATTTATTTAAAACTGCAGCAAAGATTATCCACAGAAAAAGTGAGCCCCCCCCTTCATCTGCATACTACGGGAACATTTTAACATTTTATCTTTAACGAATCGAAATATTGCATGCATACTTCTTAAAGTTAGTTACTTCTAAAAATGGTCCAAAATGGTAAAAAAGTTAGCTGGAATCTTCCTTGCATGCTACTTGTGGGAGTCGAAGCCCTTAGCCAGGGTTACCAAGACAAGATAGAATTTGTCCCCATTGTAATTTAAAAGAACTCGGAGATGAGTTTCATTACACACTAAAGTGCAGCTCGCTACTTTCAGAAAGAATGCTATTCTTAACAGAAAAAAAGCATAAAATTTCAGAAAGTGATTACTTTTAAACACATTATGAATAACGATAAACACTGTTTTCTGAGAAAATTGTGGTCGTTTATAAAGAAAAAAAAACAAAACAAAATATGCCCCCGCCTAAATTCCCATACTTCACATTCATAGCAACGTACA